CATACATTTGGTTGGCGAGGTTGTGACCTAAATGTTCTCCCATTATTTACTGGCCTGAACTGCCTCTCAAAAGGCGGTCCCCTATAGAATGATGTACCTCGCCCTCTACCAGGCTGAGCGTTTGGAAAAAATTAGGGCGATGGTGATACTGCCATATCCCTGGTTTCTCTGTATTTGTACCCACTTCTCTTTTACATCTTGCACATAGGACGTCTTCATCCTTTTTGGACTCGTTCCCTTTGATACGTTCAAAAATACTGTGTAACGCCCTGACCCCTAGTGGACCGGAACGCTACTTACTTTACTTAACTTAACCGGTGGTTTAGTAACAAGTGTATACGTTTTAGCGGAAGCTTACATCTTTGGATAATAATTTAAATAACAATACTTCAAATACTTTAAACAAAAACACTGAATCATTTTTCAAAACAACAAAATGTAATTTATTTGAAGAAAACATAACTTGTTCTCGCATTCTGCCTTATTCAAAATTTTAAAGAAATAACATTGGAAAATATTTCATAAAAATAAATCCAAATCACTTATTCACCGGATTTCCTTGGGCTCGTTGCATCACTCTCCATCTTCTCCTCCATCCATGTCCGAGGAAGAATTCCTTCAATCTGTAGAGATGGATTAAACCCGTGAGTTGAAAAACTCAATAGGTGTCATAGGTGCATTCGTGATCAAGCTATACATTTCAAAACATTAACTTTATAACTTTTAATACATGCCGTACTCGGAGGCACCATTTGACATGAAGGGGTATGCCGTACCCGAGAGCACCATTTGACATACGAACATTTCTTCAAGATAGAGGGGTATGCCTTACTTGAGTACCATTTGACATACAAACATTAACATGAATTGAAACTTATAACTTAACACGATTAAACACACTGCACCTCTCCCTACCTTGATTGATGCTTTTGAAATTTTGAAAACTTGGATTGAAAATTTCGATGAAACTTGGACGTTGAAAGAAATGCACTCCTTGGATGTTTGAAAACCGTTGAGAACTGATGCTTGAAAACCGTTGAGAATTGATGCTTGAAGGCACTCCTTGATAGCACCCAAAACTTCTATGAAAAATGATTGAAAACACTTCTTAAACTTCTAGGAAAAATAGTTTTCCTCCCTCTCTTTTTCTCTCTTTTCCTCTCTTTCTTTAGTATGTAAAAGCTCTTGCTTTTAATGTGAGAAAAAATGAGTGAAATGAGGTTTTTATTTATAAGTAAATATCTCATAACTTGAAGCAAATGAAGGGTCAAATTTCATGAGGTTAAATGCTTCAATTTAGTGGAGTTTTTATTGTCAAAAACGTGGGTGGCCCTTTGAGAAAATAATTGATGAAAATAAATATTTAAATTCTAGAGAAAAATGAGAATTTTCATTTCAAACAGTTTCGGTCGACCGATTGTAGTCCGGTTGACACTGCACAGCTTTCAGTGTTTCTATCATAACTTCTTCTCCCGATATCCGATTGAGGTAATTCAAAGTACGTTGAAAAGCTAACTCAAAGAACTACAACTTTTATTTAGATATCATTTTCCAAATCAAATGTTTCCTATGTAGAAAATGGGTCTCAAATGAGACTAAAAATCTGAAGTATACTTTAGTCATCTAATATTCATATCTTAGTGCCACTAAGGTATCTAGAATTATTTGGAGTTCTACACACTGGGGTGTGGCATAGGGTCTTCTTCTCCATTATCTATAACCAACTTGAATTTTGACAACTTGTTTTTAAAACCAGTCGTCACCATATTCGCCCCAAGTGGCTGTGGAAAAGGGTTTTCATCCACTGCCATTTTCTTCTTGTCCTCGAACGTAATTCGTCCTGATTCAATGGCATTCTGTAACACATGGCGAAAAACCAAACAGTTGTTAGTCAAATGTGACCATGCATTATGCCATTTATAATATTTTTTACCCTTAACTTGTTCAGGGCTTGGCAATTTATGTTTATCGCTCAGTTTTATCTGCTTATCCTTATATAGTTTATCAAATATAAGGCCAGCTTTAGTTACATTGAACGAGAACGTTCTAGTCTTTTTGTTTTTATCTTTTATAGGCTCATACCTGCCCGACGGTCTAGATTTAGCCATTATAGGACAAGTATACGTATCTCCTTTAATTAATTCGGTCAAACACATTTCCACTTGATCCTCATATTCGTCATTAATGGCATGAACATCAAAATTTGGGTCTCTATAATAAGTCCCCTTACTAGAATTTTTTATTTGCTCTTCTTCTCTTATTAATCGTTCATACCTAATCACATTTGAACTCAATTAAAAAAGATCAGGAAATTTCTTGTCTTGAAATTTCTTTTTCAAATCAAAGTTTAGACAATTTTGAGCGATTTTGACAAACTCCTTTTCGAGCAAATGTACAAAACATTTACTTCTTGCTGTATTGAACCTTTGAAGGAAACCTTCTGCCCATTCGTTTGGCATTTGATGCAGACTTAAGAAATCGGCCAAAGTAATTTCAGACTCGGTCTTATAAAACTGAGCATGGAACAATTGCTCCAATTGTTGTCATGTTTGAACAGAGTTCGCTGACAAATTGATGAATCAGGAGAAAGCTACTCCTGTTAATGAATTAGGAAACAACCTCATTTTATGGTAGTCTGTTACTTCACCACTTTGCAGTGTGAATCGTCCTATATGTTCTAGAGTAGACACCTCTCCTAAACCGGTAAATAGTGAGAATTCGGGCACTTTATACCCTCTAGGTCATGGATATACTTGGTCTACCCAATCAGGATATGGCTTTGTGTAAGTCGGCCTAATGACAGGACGTACTCCAAAAGCCATCTAATCCTATACTATTTCCATAATTTGATTCCTCAACATGATGTTGGGGTAATATGGAATTCCTATAGGTTGGTTGATCGGTTGATTTGCTTGAGGCCTGATGTTTGGTCCTTGGTTGGCAACAAAGTTGCCTTGATTTAATTTGGCCTACTAACTTATTCATTATTTAATTCAAAGTATTCAGTTGTTTGGCCATATTGTTATAATGTGCATTCCCATTCTGAGTAAATCTTTCCATATTATGAATATTTCGTAGATTTACTTGTTCAATGACATCATGTGTGAGTTCTCCAAGTAATGCACGCATGATTCGAGGACTCAACTCTGTCATTGGTTCGTAACGACTGTGACTGCTCTGGCTCTGTCCCTCTGTTCGTGAAGAGCTATGCTGCTCCTCATATCGCTCGATCACAGACCGGACTTCTCCCTGACTTGCTGTTTTCTTATCAGATTTGTGAGGCATATTATTTCACCTTTTGTATCTTTAACACCAAACACCAAGGTCCCACTGGGCGTGCCAAATTGTTTCGCGCGGGAAGTCGTTAACAATTAAAAAGGGATCAGACGATTGTATAAGGAACAAACCGCTTGAGACAAAGTCCCAAAAAGGGATATTTTATTGGCGATGATTTACGATTAGAACTAAACAGAATGCCTCCAAGGGGTGCAAGCACACGAGTACTGAAAGAAATGTTTAAGTTTAAACTAAGAAATTGAAATTACATATTCTCTATTTGAGAGTGTTTGATTCGGGGGTCCTTTCTCTATCTCTTCTCTTCCTTTTATATTCCCTTGATGATTTCTTTGTAACAAACCGCTTGGAAACTGCTTGAGTGCTTTATAACTATCCACTTTCTTTATGATGGCTAACTTGTCGTGGAACTACCGTCTCTAACTGCTGTCATTACTCTTTGTCGTTCAACCGCCTTCAACTGGGTTCCTTGAATCGTGGAATGTGATAAGGTTACTCAATAACTGCTTCAATAAATGTATTTCTGAATAACCATAACATTTTATGTTTGCTAAGATCCTGGCCGATTCGAAGGTATGGGCGAGAACAGAGTCATCGCTCTGGGCGACTGTAAGGCACTCCATTCGCTCAGATTTTGGGCGTCTTGCAAGTTTGGGCGATGATGTTACTGTGTTCGTGGGCTTCCACTGCATTCATTAATAACCTTGTCTGGGCCTTTATCCTGAATTGCCCAATTTGGACTTCATTTTTTGGGCTATTTGATTTGAAAATTCCTCAATTGGGTTTCTTTCCTTCGACTATTTGATTTGGGCCGCACTTTTAGTGTGTCAACAATAGTACTTTGAAAAGTTAAGACTGAACTTATGATATAATCAATTTAATCAGGTGATTCTCTTGCTTTTGTACTTTCAGATCAATTACTGGGTAGACTACTTATGGTCAAGCTTTCAAATGTGTATTCATTTGTTTGCTCGCGCTGACCATTGAGTGGGCAGGTTTATTTGGTAGACAACTGAGTTTTGGGAGGTAACTCTGTTGCCCATACCATTTCTGAGTAACTTCTCTTCAACTTTTCATGACATTACAATCTTGCTTAAGACTGTATCCCCTAACCAAAAATGGAGAAGTATGATAGAACAATCTACCATCTCCGCCACCTTAGGTTGTTCGTTAATCTAATGAGGTTGACAAATGTACCGATCGTGATTCTGTGCTGGTTGTACCAATTACATTTTCTTGCATTCTTGTACTCAATCTTCTATTAATTAGAGCATGTATGATCATTAGTGATGATTTTTGTCCAAATATTATGTTAGCATGCTTTGAAATAAGGGATATATTAGTCCAAAAATTGAATTCACATTATACTGCTCAACTTTTAGAGTTCGATTCAACTATGAAGATCTCATGTTCAACCTTTTCTATAGCTGGTTGAGCTCGAAGTCGAGCTTATTCCCTTTTTACCTCATAATAAAAGATGGGCTTTATATTTTACTAATTTCTTCAAAATAATATAATTTTCGAACAGTATTTATTTAAGTAAAGATGACAAAATATCATGTCACATCCTGTTCTTTTTCGTCCCGTCTCAAAATATTTTGATTACTATCCCTGTAGTTGGGATGGTAGGAAGGTAAGAATCAATTAATGAATTAAAGTAAAATTGAATTTAAAAAACGCTTCACAATTTTAGAAAAGAAAAAAGAAATGAAAATAATAATGACTTAAACACAATCTTTCGGTAAGTACCGCAGTACTAATTGTGCAAGCACAGGTAGAGGTGCCGTTGGCTGGCCGTGAATGAGAAGTAGCAGCACCGGTGACTTATTTTTCTACTTACCAGAATCCATAAAAAACAGTAGAATTCAAATTTGAATTCACGACTTTTTTCTCAGTTTTTGTTTATTCGTAACTCAATCAGTCAAATTGAAATCATCTTCATCACGTATTCATATAAAATAGACGGCATTGGTTGTTGGTGAAGTTCCGTAGGGTTCTGCAGATCGTCCATTCTCTTTTTTCCTTTTTCAGGTGACACATCTATTATTTTTTCCCCCCTTTACGCTCTTTTGATATTAAGCGAATTTACTGTCTTTGGCATGTTTTCTTGTAAAATCTTGGTAGATTTTCACTTTGGTTTGTCTTGAATTCCGAAACGGGCTACGTATATATTTCATTATTGTAAAATATCGAAGGTCGGTTTTTTGGTGTGCTGTGTTGAATTTCATGGGCTTAACTATATATTTAAGAATTTACTGCTTGCTTGTTTAGGTTAGGATTTTGGGTGATCGTGATCCTTGAATTGGGACTTTTAAGAAAGTTTGGTGGACTAGTGGATCTTTCTGGAATAATTAGTAATGCTTTTTGTTAGTGAAATTTTGGGGTATGTAGAGTAAATTTTGTTCCTTTTTAGTTCTTGATGCTGATGATTTCCTTTACCTATTATTGCTTTTCAGTTTGATGAATGTTTAATTCCATACATTCAATATGCCTGGAGAAGCCAAGGAACAATCTCACAAGAAAAAATTTCTTGTGGAAGATGAGGCCAAAAATTTACAAAACAAGAAACCGAAAGTAAAACAAAGAAATAGGACTCATTCATCATTGCCTAAGAAAAATGTTACTAATAGGTTAAGTGTAAGTAATGGGAGTCCCAGTTGGAAGAAGGTAGTCAATAAAGCTGCTGTGCATAAAACGAAAACCTGCAAGAAGCAACCCTTGTTGAGTGGTGTAAATGATGAAGTTCAGGTCATTAGCACAAAGGACAGTGAAAAACAGGATGATGGAGATATAAAGTTGCAAAATTTAAAGAGGAGGAGAAAGAGAAAGAAGAGAAAGGATAATGTAGAGCTTGATGAAGCTTCGCGGTTGCAAAGGAGGACAAGGTACCTGTTGATAAAACTGAAACTGGAGCAGAATCTTATCGATGCTTATTCTGCAGAAGGTTGGAAGGGTCAGAGGTATAAAATTCTCTATCCTATTATCTTTATTAAAATCCTACTTGCAGATTCTAGTTTCCTTTATACGTCATTGTGATATTCCATGTATATTAATATTAGAAAAAGAAAGAAAACATGTTATCTTAAGCAAAGCAAGCTAATTTGAAATGAATATGCATCCAAATTTATGGCATGTGGAGATGAAATGTTAACTGAAGCTGTTTACGTTAGTTCAATTTTAATCGGGGCTGGCCTTGGTTGCAATTTATTTGATCCCATCAGAATTATATGTATAATCAAGTCAAATACTTTTCATTAGATATGAAACAAAACATTTTATCTTAATCACTGGCGGAGGGAGACTGCTTCCACCCTTGCTCCATTCCCACTTTCCCTGAGTATCATATTATCATTTCCAGCTTGTGCACTCCACCCCACCCCAAGGGCAAAGGTCTCATCCCAAACTTAGTTTTTTGAGTTTAATATAATAGCGTCTCACTGTGTAGTGTATATGGTTATGTTTATATTTTAATTTGATGTGTTAATGGCTAATGGTAATTTGTTTGGGTCTAATTGTAATCATTGTGTATTAATTTTGTAAATTGTTTAAATTGGAATTTGAATTATTGTGGATATGTTTAATTTGTGCAAGCATAATTAGAATTAAATAGTGTGGATATTGATATTGCAAAACTTATTACGGATCTTAGACTAGAACTCTAATCGTAAAAAAGATAGACTATTAATATTATTATGTTATTCCATTGTTTGGTGTCATTATATGACGAGTATATAAAAATATATTTCATGAATTTGATAATGATGTCATTATATGGTGTTGTTAAAGTAAAGCTCAGTTAAGAATTTTAAAAATTATAAGATTTTTAATTTTATTTTATTTTGTGGTTGAATTTTTCTTTTTCCACCTTAGTTAAATCCATCCCCCATGGTTCCACGTCTTGGCTCCACCACTAGATTCGATGACAACTTTCATCATATACAAATTAAGTTGGATCTGTAAAAACTTTTTCCTCTTACATAAACATTTTTTTTTTCTTTTACTCAGTCGAGAAAAGATTAAACCAGAAAAGGAACTACAAAGAGCCAAGAAGCAAATATTGAAGTGCAAGCTTGGAATACGTGAAGCTATTCGCCAATTGGATTTGCTTAGTTCTGTAGGACGCATTGATGACTCAGCAGTTGCCCCAGATGGATCTGTTCATCATGAACACGTAAGCTGATGTCAAACCTTTTATCCTAATTCTTCTGGGGCATTCATCAAGCATCTCGTTAGGAGTTCCAGCCCACTGAGATTCTCTAAGCATGTTACTCTTAGGTGTATACTTATTTAATTGAAGGTTATTATACATGTTTTTTATACTTACCTTTCACAATAATATCATTTTTTTTAACTGAGCATATTTACTTTTGTCTTCTAGATTAAGAGCCCATTTGGGAGTAATTTTGAAAATTGATTTTTTGACCGTTAGGAAAAAATGGGGTTCACCTGTGAAAGAAGAAGTCAAATATGACGGCTAGAATAGTGAAATAACGGTAAAAAAATCAATTTTTTGGGCCAAAAAATCACTCACAAACAGGCTGTAAGAATAGTTCCAATACTGCATAGTGACAGTACCACCATTGTCAACTACACTAGGGAGTTCATGATATTTTTGTTTTCATCCAGATAATCTGTGCTAAATGTAAGATGCGTGAAGCTCTCCCTGATAATGACATTATACTTTGTGATGGGACATGTAACCGTGCTTTTCACCAAAAATGTCTTGATCCTCCACTGTCAACTGAAAATAGTGAGTTAACTTTACCGTTTTCTTTACCTATTTTAGTGTGGTTGACTTGTTAGTCTTTAGGTATATAATTTTTATTAAATTATTTCATGTTCTTTAGAACTTCATGTAATGAAGTTAATGATTTCCCAGTTCCTCCAGGAGATGAAAGCTGGTTTTGCAAATTTTGTAAGAGTAAGATGGATATATTAGAAGCTACAAACGCTCACCTTGGGACCCATTTTCCCATGGATAGTAATTGGCAGGTTGATAATTTTGAAACCTAATGTTATTTCTTAATGTGGTTCCCATCCATTAAAGAGGCATATATTGGATCATAACAGGATGTTTTCAAGGAAGAAGCATTATTACCTGATGGTGGAGATTCCATGTTATGCCCAGAACAAGAATGGCCGTCTGATGACTCCGAAGATGATGATTACGATCCAGAAAGAATCGAACCTAGTTGCAGTGATAGCATGGCTAGTTCTGAATCTGATGGCTCTGAGTACAGTTCCAGCTTTTTAGGATCTCTTGAGGATGAACCACTTTCTTTGTCTGGAAGAAATGAGGAGAGGAGAAAGGAATGTCAGGACATTTATTCGGAGCTAATTGGGGTAGATTCTGATGAGAATAACGATGGTGAAGCTGTATGTGGTCGCAGACAGCGATCAACTGTCGACTATTTAAAGTTACATGATGTGAGTAGACAAGATTTATTTACAATCCTCCTTTTTCTTTTTTGTTTCAGTAGCAACATAGAAGCCGAGGTGGTCTTGTGTATATATGGTCAATATGTTATATGCAGATACCTAAAAACCAACAACCCTTTTCAATTCCTTTTGAAATTAATGGTCAGGAACAGACTTTTTTTTTTCTTTTATCAATTCACTGAAATTTCTGAAATTTATTAAACTATTAAAGGAAAAGAAAGTTGATGTGGCAATTTCTTTTAATTGCTTTGTTGAAATTAAAATATTATTATTATTTTGATTTGAATTTTATATTTCATTCTTTCCCAAATGTATAAGTACTTGAATGAGTGCAAAGCTATGAAGATTCCAATACTGGACAGCATTATGTGGCTCAGTTTTTTATTAAATGCAAATTCATATGATTGGTTGCCGGCTCATAGGAAATGTTTGGGAAGACTGCTGCTGAAGATGAACAAATCAGTGAAGATGAAGACTGGGGTCCTACAAAAAGAAAAAGGAAAGGAAATGAGACTGATGCTGGTGGCACCCTTGTGGCTCAGTCTGAAACTGAAAAGAACTGTTCAAAAGAAAAACCGAAAGAAGTTAAGGAAAAACTCTCAAGCGGGAAGATAAAAAGACCAATTTTCAGAATTCCACTTAATGCAGTTGAGGTACTATAGATTATTTCTTGTATTCTTTTGAATATCTTGACAAATGACATTATACATAGGGTGTGCCAATCCTTCATTTTTTATTTTGCTGTTGCAGAAACTTCGACTTGTTTTTGCTAAGAATGAACTTCCAGACAGAGCAGTAAGAGAGAATCTTTCCAAACAGCTGGGAATAGAATTTGACAAGGTAATACTAATATTATGGCTGAATCAAAGAAATTGAACAATGGGATGTCAGGAAAAATATAGGAATCCCAAATTCATTGCAGTTTTCAAATTTTAAACTGGGTCGCTGAAAAAAAAAAAAAAAGAAAAAGAAAAAGGAAAAAAATAGTGCTGCAAATTGCTGTAACTAGTGAAAATTTTATGTTTCAGTAGGATTCTAATAAGATTATGGAAAGTACTATCTGTAACTGTTATGGCCCTTATTCTGCTCGTGAAATGTTGGTTTCGGAGTGATATCGCTGCAGAATTGAGTGGATTTTACTTTGAAAGGTGCTCTGTCATTTAAGACATTACAAGACTTAGGATAATGGATGGGGAACCAAGAAATGGTAGGAAGGACAATAGCATTTTATATTCATACACCCAAAAATTAAACAATAAACAGAAAAGAGACACTGATCTATCACAAAGCAACATAAATTAGTAAAAGAAACACAAATTTCTGTCTAATTTGTTTAATTCTTCCACCTCTTTAGTTGACTTGTTTGTTTATTACATTTGTAGGTCAACAAATGGTTCAAGAACGCACGCTACCTAGCTCTTAAAGCCAGAAAGGCAAGGCTGCACCTGACTAAAAATTTCCTGCTCGTTAAATTTGTATCTCAATTTGTCCTCAATTCTTGTTATATTCTTGTCTCATTCAACAGTTTGACTCTTAGCAAAGCATCGCCTAGATTTTAAGTTGCTTGAAGAGACTGATAAAAATAATATTTTTCTTCACATTATCCTTCTTCAAATTGTGGCTACATGATATAAGTGAGGCTATTTTATTTCTTACTTTTTCTCTCTATCATTGTTTAAAATTGTGGATACATAAAAATTGTAAGGCTATTAATTTCCAATTTATAGTAATTCCAAGAATATCTGTATTTGTCTTTTGATTATTTGCTTTCTTTTATAGAATGATTTCTTCTTCATATTTCTGTATCCACTTATTATTGACAGGCTAAAATCTGCTGATTTCTCTATGTAAAGTGTCCAAATTTCGTTAAATTTGTAGTTGAATTCCTTATTTACGGAAATTAACAGGCAGGAAACGCAAAATCATCTGATGATGGTAGTGCTGGCACTCGGGACCAATCCACATCAGAAATTGAAACCACCAAACATGCTGATCAAATGGCATCGAAGGATAGCACATTACTGCAGGCTCCTAAGAGTTCAAAAAAGGCTCATAGAGGTAAGAAACCCTGCTTGCCAACCAATCCTTTGAAGGGAAAACAGCGAAGGAAAACAATGCTACAGAAGCCAGTCAACAAGAAGGTATCGTTTGGCTCGACTTCCTGTTTGAAATTCTACTTGATATGCAATTTTACTATGCTCCGTAGTAAGTTGAAAGAAATTGTGAATTTGATTAAGCAACTTAAGAATATTGTGGTTGAAATTGAAGTCAAACATCAGATGAGGTATGCTACCAAATTGGCTTTTCTGTTGAATTGGTTTTTACAATTTTGAGAAATAGCAGAGAGAGCTGCAGCAACATACTTTAGATCTAAATGGTTACACCTACATTCGATTTGAACTGGATAATGTCAAAGCTTGACGTGTAAAAATTTACATCTTAGAGGTTACATCATTTGCGTATATGATTAAGTTGCACCAAGATCCCTCGATTTATTTTTTCTTAACCATATTTTGTACTTCCAACCATCAGGTGGCTGCAGATTTTGGTGATGATGTGAGCCTGAAACTTTTAAGAGAAAAGGCCAAGGAAGCTAAGAAGTCAAATCGGAAGAGAAGTCGTATGCTGGCGGCAGAAGCTGAATTGAAGCGGCTCTGTGAAGTCGAGAGTAAAGTAAAAAACCTCCAGCAAGCTTTACGAGGTCTTCCGAATCATGGACGCAGTAAAGTCGATGGTTCCACCTCAACTGAACAGTCTATCGTCTATGTACCTGTAGCAGAGGTGAGGGAGAAAAGGTGATCCATTATTTTTCTAAATCTTCTCTCATGATAAGGGATGGTTTTGGGTCTTTTTATGTACTGCATAGTGATTCTGTTCTCTGCAATTAGAGAATCAGAAAATCCTTTTTGCAATGCATAGAGATAGTATTATTCAATATATCTTCAAGTTTTATAGTGACTGTAAATTTTCAACTTGGAAAGATAAAGTACAATATCATATCGGTTTATATTGCTAAGCATGTAGCGCAGAGAAAATGAACATGGCGAGTTATCATGCTTGTTTTTGCAATCCATTCTTGTGCCATATTGAGAATGCACCACTATAGCATCACTTTATGTACCAGTGCCTCTTTTATGCAGTGATTGCAAGAAAACCCGCCCGCCCCGAATGGGGCCCAAAAAATCGGCCCCGTGAAGAGAAAAAGAAGAAGAAGAGGAAATTACTGAATCTAAGACATTTAATAATCCCATTTAAAAAATGAGAGGTCAATTTCACTATTTCAAAATTCAGATCTATTATTAATTAATTAACAAATATAAAAATTAATTAATCTATCTAATCTAATTTCAAACCCTAATTTATTCCTACCTACCTTTCTCTCTCTACAATCTCATGATTTCACCTTCAACCAGACAACCCTCTCCGTCACCTCACCTTTCAACAACTCTCTTCGCCGCCTCACCTATTAACCTGAGAGTGTTTGGCGTCGACGCCGAACTGAAGTCACAAATTATTTCTATTCTCTCTGTCGTCGGCGATCTGTCTCTCCGTTCTTTCACTATCTACTCTTCTGGAAACGTAGATCGCTACAGCCCAAGGCGGAAACATAGCAATGATGCTGGCGAGTAACTGAGCATGAGCATCGCACGGGCGCTGCAAAACAGATTTGTGAGATCTGTGAGAGTTGTTACTGCCCATCGCGGTGAAAATGGTGATTTGTTACTTCTAGTGGTTTGATGATAAGACTGTGGTTGTTTGTTACTAATAGGTCTATGAAGGATTGTGCAGTTTGTGGTGGTGGTTGTAGTGGTGATGGTGTTTGACGGTGGGCTACGGTGGTGGATCTGGTGAGGTGTGGTGGTTGATGGAGGTTGCGGTACGATGTTGGGTTGTGGTGATGATGGTGGATTTGTGGTTGGTTGCTGTTTGTTGGATCTGTAGTGATGGTTTTGGCGACGATAGGTTGCGGTGGTGCTATTACTGTTATAGGTTATAGGATGGTGGTGGTGGTGCGGTAGTGTGGGTAGTGATGGTGGTGGTGGTTTTTTTTGGTTGTTGGAGTGGTGGTGGTGGTTTGTTTTTGGGATTTGGGTAGTTTTGGCACTGTTGAAGCTGGTGATGGTGGTGGATTTGACGATGTTGCAACGAGTGAGAAGAGTGTGTGTGACCAATTATTTTATGACACTAAATTTTCGGTGAATAATATGTGGTCTAATTTGTGAACGTGACTACATTTATAATATGTCACCTAAAATTTGCGACTGTGACTTACAATTGATTAAGTTGTGATCAGAAAATTAATCGTGACCAATTAATCTAATAGTTTGAAATGAATATATGAGTTGTGACCAATAAAAGTTTTGATTATGTGGACAATGAATAATCTGTGACCTATAAAAAAATTTATTCGTGATCGAAAAATAATACGTGATCTATAAATTTTTTGATTTATGATCGAAAAATAAGTTGTGACTAATTAATTCTTTGATTTGTGACCGATAATCAAACTGAGCTGCAAAACTTTTAAATTGTGATCATAAAATAATGTGAGAAAAAAATAATAAATTAGCAATTAAATTGTTAATTCGTAACCAAATTGTATAGATTCATGACCTATATATATTAAAATAATTAAATCATGAATAAATTTTAATAGAAATTTGATTTTTGAATTTTGAAACTTATTTTCTTAATTTTGAAATATACCATACTTAATATTTCACTTATGAAATTTTTCCAAAAGAAATTAAAAATAATTTTATTTCTGAACAATTCACCTCTTAAAAACTCATTTTGAATTTGTATTTTATTCTCTAATAATGGATTAACTCGAAATTTAAAATAAAAAAAAAAAAAAGAGTTAAGCCGCTGCTGCACCCCGTCTAAGGCGGCGCTAAAAAAAAAAAAAAAAAAGAGTTAAGCCGCTGCTGCACCCCGTCTAAGGCGGCGCGGGGCATTGAACCCGACCCGCTGTCATCCTCACTTTTATGTCACAAAAGGATGACGGTCACACATATTGCAAAGGTGAGGGACCACAGGTGCTTGAAATTAAAGTTTGGGACCCTATCGTCAAAACTTCAAAGGTTATTGACCCCAACTGGAATATTCCCTTCTTTTAATAAACATTTTAGAATATACTGTCTTTTTTCTTGAAAAAGAAAAAAAAAAAAAAATCTTATTTGACAATGAAGTAGAATTCACTTGAAAATAAGTAACTAATATACATAAATATGGTGCACGACATTTTTATAAATGTGTGACTACGAAACTATAATGTTCAATAAAACACAATATTTTTTTAACTTATATGTGTTTCATTCTCCTTCAACTAGTATACATATCTCAGAAGTTGCTATTAGTATAACAAAACGATGAAAGAAAAGCTAAATTTTGACTACAAAAATACTTTCATTTCACAATTCTTGCTCGCTTTCCCGAGAATTGGGGCTTCTAACGAATCGTCCCTGCAACATCGTAAACAACCAATTGGAAAAATTAACGATGTTAAGTGTCGCAAAAAAGTGAAAACTTGAAGACATAAATATGATGAAAAGGAAAAATTTAAGTTACTGCATATCACTCGGAGTAATTCCTAAATTCAACATTAAGATTGGAAAAAAGATTAAAATGAAAAAAGAGAGAAGAATACCTTCGTTCTTAGCCGTTGATCAGCATTTACTTTTCTTACTTGATATCTTATCTTCTTAGAGAAAAGGTGCTTACGCTGCTTTTCTTTGTCGCACAACACACTAGACTCCCTCACTTCGTCTTCTCCGAATAAATCTATTTGTGCCAATCTTGTCTACACCACAAATAACACAATGAGCAATTATTCAATGCTTGGCAGCTCAAAAAGTCCCAACATAAGTACAAAATTTTCCAATATACTCTTGACAATTTCAAATTATTAACAAAAGATACGATTTTCATACAAAAATATCAAGACAAAATAGGATGTTGACGTACAAGAAAGCATAGACGATTCTAATAAAAAAGAATGTATAAACCGAAATTTAACTTTTTTATTTTTATTTTTTAAAACTCTCAAATAGAAAGTGTTTTGGCATGGAAGCCATTCAAATGTTGCCGTACCAAGCCAGCTAACAAAGACATTATTGCTAGAAAGATTGTTCGCCTGTTGACCAAGCCCACTTTTTAAATTGAACTATAATTCTAACCAAAAGTGACATTAATTATTGAAAAATGAATTTTAAGAAAAAAAAAAAAACACTATGACACATGATTAGCACGTTCCATGCCCTACAAGAACATAGAAAGTCCTTTACTTTTTAGCCAAGGGACAGATACTAGTTACAAATCCCCTTAAAGATTTGCAATCCTTGTGGGACAAGATGAGAAACATACTTGAACATCATGCCTCGCGGCTTCCGAGTCCGAGGGAGTTTCGCCGGAAAATGGCGATCCCTTATCGGACCACCCATTCAAAACGTTGTCGTAATTCAATTTTAATGACAACCCTGCACTTGGTTTAGGCAGTATAGCCTCCTCTTTAGGTGATTTGCTAGCTGAATTCACCTTGTTTGGTTTAATGGAACTTGACTTCAACTTAGATAATGCTGAATTATTGGGTTCGAACGCCTTTTCAATCTTCTTTTTCTTCTTCTCGGACGGGATTTTACCGGTTTTCGGGGTGATGTCTTGCACATTGACACTAGGGAACCTCCACCAATTCCCATCATCAACCTTTTTCATTGCCCTCACTTCCCTTCTCATTCCAAAGCCAAATGTACCTCCAAATCCTAGGCCTATTGGATAACCATAACACCAAGAACTCATTTGCCTAGTACTCGAATCATCAACCGAGTTGTTTCCAGTAGTTAACTGTCCCATGATACTATCAATGCCCTCTTCAATTTCTGCATCTAGTATCGATCCTGCAATGAAATCTTCTTGATAGTCATCACAAATCTCCAAAGAACCCCCTCCTGAATTGATTTCCCCCGGACTTTGGCACGGTTTATCAAATGCACTAATCCCCTTCGGCTCAATTGGGAAATTGGGCTTTTCTAGTATCGGTGGATGCAACAAGAATCCCGAGTTTTCAAATACATGAAAAGGCATGAACAATTCGGACGGCTCATACGGAAAACTATTGTTACAATTATAGTGCGGTTTTGTGAATTTATAAGGCTTTGTGAGGTGGTTGGCAGAGAAAATTTTGGGATAGGCAGCCGAAAGAATGGCTGCAGCTTCATTATAAGTCTGATTAGGCCTTTTTCGAGGTGTTCGAGGTTTTCGAGTTGAGATGGCAATTGGGGAATTGCTTGTATCAGTTAAAGTTGAAGATGATGAATTTGAAATCCAAGAAGAGGATGGGGATTTAATAATCTCAAGGTCTAATCTAATTGCTCTTCCACCTCCACTTAAACAAGAAGACATTTGTAAAATACCTTAAAAGAAAACCTCCAAGAATGACTGAAATTTCAACTAAAACAAGAAATGAACCATTTGCAAAAATGACTTATAAACTGTAGAATCCAATGATTCGGGGCAGCAAATTTAAACCTAATTGGTAAAGAAAAAGCCAAACCAGAGCAAAGAATTGGAAAGTAGTTGATTGGTCTGAAAGAAGAAAAACCCTAAACCCTAAGAAGTTCTAGATATTCAGTATGAAACACACTTGATGAGTAATAAAAAAAAAATTGAATAAAAAACCCCCAAAAAATTCAGCACTGTGAATATAAAATTATTAGGAGCTACCAGAAGGGAACAGCACTTCAAAAACCCAGAAACGAAAGGGCCTAAAGGAACAACCTTGAAATCATCGAATCATGAAAGAAAGAAAGTAGTGTATTTTCTTCCATGGAAAAACATCATGGAAATCCCAGGAAATAAAAAACAAGATTTATATACCAAGAATCAACTATTCAAGTAATTGAGCAATACAAGAAAAGCAGAGTATATTCAATTAAAGTGCATAAAACTCAAGATTTGCTCAAATATCATATGACATATCTCCAAATGGAAGGATAGGAATCAAAAAGGCTGAGGACAGAGAGTGAGAGTGGCACAGTGAGTCACGGGGATGCAGGCAGATTAAAGGTTGGTATACATAAAGCAGAGACGCCCACACTCTTTCTCTCTGTATCTACTTATTTCTCTCTCTCTCTCTATAGAGTAGAGAGAGATTGGGTGGACGGAGGGGATGATTGAAAGGGAGTGGTGGGTTTGGGTGATGTAGAGAACAGAGGAAGAGACAATTCTGGGCTTCAACAGTGGGCCATATCATTGGCTTTCAACAGTTCAATTATTCTTACCATCTTAATGTAATTTACAAAGAGACCCCTACATTTTTTACTTCTTAATTCTTATCATTTTAATCAATGCCCTTTGACATTTGTATATGTAATCAAGACCTCGCGGTTCTTTTTCTAATTACTTTCTATTATTTAACTTCAGTAGTTCATAAAGCAGATGTCTTGAGTTTGAATTTTGAAGAACGAGAAAGAAATTCGCGTTAAGTAAGATAAGCACAATTTACTTTTTTTCAAAATAGACATCACGTAAGAGAATAATTTAAGCACACGTTTTATTTTTAACTCTTATCCACAATTGAAAGCATAGCTCACGAAAGGAGTTGTACTAGAAGGAAAAATTGCAATGTTGATTTTAGATTTATTGTCATGGTAGCAAATTAGTTTCCAACCTTTAAAACTAAATGAATAGGTCTGCGGACTTCTATTATAGTTGCACATCAATCATTCATGAATGAATGACCAAATCTCTATTAAATTGCGAGGTACTCTCATACATCAACAGTGATGAAGCTAAGTTTTGCTTTTCAATATGGATTGCTAACTAAAAAATTGAAAAGAAACATGTTTTCTCCCTCTCAATCAACCTCCGGCTATTAGCACGATGCTTGTCAACGTAAATGGGTAAAATAGTAAAATTCATCTCGATCGATTGGACCAGAAACTTCCTCAGCACCTCCTCGAAGTCGAGATGGTGCCTTTAGTTTAAGTTTTACCACCAAAATTTTCATTAATGGAATGCCTCTTATCTCTCCACGTGGCACAAATCTGTTGGGTATTTGAGATTTCTAGGGCTGACATGGATTACTTTTTATTGTTAATTTATTTTCACGAGTATCGAGAAAAAATAAGGGTGAGTGCAATAATTTGATGGTTTTGGTGTTTTGTGGTTGTTATTATGTGGTATATGGAAATCATACGTTAGGCTATTTATATTCAATGGCTTATGATAAGAAAAATCAAATTAACATTGTGGTCCGATAAACTTGAAAAATGTTCAAAATATAATGAAATATATGTTTGAAAATATTGCAAATATCCCTGAATCTTTTACATTTGTTGCATTACATTGTGATATAGTGAAACGAGTAAACGAGTGCAAGCTAAAGTGACTTTGTGTTGATATAGCCATTATACGATGTATAACTTTCTAATTACATAAACAAATGAATAGTATGATTTGAAAGTTGGGCGCTAGCTAACTTTGAGTTATTTTACACAATAATTGAGTGAATAGGATATATTGGATTTTATTTTTTTTAATGGCGGGGAAATTCGCAGTCGCTACCCTTCAGGTGCGCACTGGGTAAACCCTCGAGTTGACGCAATAGCCTGCAAATAACGTCAGTTAAGTAAACTGCACCAGGCAAGCCCGATGCGACAGACTCGATTGAAAAAGTCAACATAGGGGACATCGAGTCCATGACCAAAGGCCTCCTCGCTCACCTACTCCACCAATTCGGCCACCCTATGAGGGATGGATATATTGGATTTTGTTGGGGTACAAGATGTCTGCTTTTAAGAGTTGGGTCATCCCAAATGTTTAGCATGTCGTCATTGGATACCAGTTGATTATTAGATGAGATAGTTGAAATCTATCCTACGAATTTCAGTAAAATCATTAATCGTTTACATTTGTTCTGTAATTCAACCACTAAATGGCACATAGAAACCTAAACTCAGGTGTCTAGGTCATGGAAATTATCCAAATCATTTCTTTATCCTAAAAAACAATATCGAGATAGATGGGAGAAAAATAATCAAATTCAGTTAAAAGGGATGCAAAGTGAACTTTTTCAAAACTTGAGGACCAACAGAATAATTATAATGGTTTCATATACACTGGGTTTTTTTTATAAAATATCATTATCTGTGACACAACCGTATAGTTTTGATATCAATCATGCCGCAGGATTATAAAATTTGACATATCATGTGATATTATATCATTTAACAATTTAAATTATAGTCAACTTTTCCATCTAATCACTTTTTTTCGCATGCAAAATATGTGAGGTTTTCTATTAAAATCTTTTGTCAGAGTAATTTTATTCTTCCGATATTCATATCTAACAAAATGTCTTTAAATTATAAAACAACTCCCATACTTTTTTTCCTTTTTTTCCCTCTATTGCCCAAAAGAATAATTGACATGACAAATTTGAGCTTTTTACCAATCATCATTTAACCATCTCATCTTAAAAACTAAGATGTTAAATTGAGACATATTTTATTCATGTGTTTTTCAAACACGCTTTCTCACGTGTCCCCATTTTCTAACAACGGAAGTTCTTATGGAATAATACCAGTGAGACGGAAATGCCTCGTACATGACAATTTTCTCATAAGTATGTAACAATAAATGCGGGTCACATCTCTCCTTTTTCATTTTTTTTTTCCTACCTTTATAACCATGTCAATCATGTTAATTAAAATTAGAGAGGAATTAAATTACGTAACGTAGTTAAATAATCAAATACTATCTAAGAACGTGTGAATAGAAGAGAGTGACAGCTGCATCTTTTGAACCATAAAAATAAGTAACTTTTGAATTATATATAAGCTAAAATGATGGCCACAAAAGTTGGTCTCACGAGAGGTTGCAAATGCAACACCATATTTGGCTTATCTTATGAACATATTTGACTTTGGATAAATGTGATTCATACACTTTTTCACAAGTATGCTTCCACCTACTGCAATAGGCCTTGTATTTTATTAGGTAAAAATTTCAGACTAATTATAATCACGTCGCAGTTTTGTTTTTGCTGCACCATGTTTTATTTGTAAGGGAAATTTTTCAGTCTATTGTTACATTTATGTTTTTAACTTTTTTTTTTAAATTATATTTTTAACGTCAACTTTTCAGTTAATTAGTTTATCTTGCCTCGATGGTTTCTATCACAATATTCGATAACATGCTTTTAAAATGAGAAAATATTTTATCGAAATTTTGTGTTTATTATTATTTTTGCTTCCTTTTATACTCTCTTTACAAAATTTTTGGGGACATGATATTCAAGGTAATGAAAGATTGAGAATAAAGACTGTAAAAAAGAAAATTGAAGATGAAAGGACCGGTGATTCAACACCCTTCTGTTTGCCCGGTAATGTTTGGCGTTTCCACCACTCCGTCAAGTATGCAAGACCTGAAAAATGAAGGCGGGGCTTTCTCCCCCGTTTTACCTCCGGCGTGAGAATTAGTTTTCAGACTTGGAAAGAATATATTTGAAATTCAGATGGCTAAAACGAGAATGGAAACTAAAAAAAAAATCCCTTACCCGTGTCACATTCGGGGGTATTTATAGATATTAGGCACTAGGTAACCGCTGGGCGGTTGTGGTGCCACGTGTCCCACGATGGTATTCTCACTACACCCACGTTCGGAGTGATGAGTTCTTAACTTTCCGTCTGAAGATTGTACCTGTATCAGCGGCCATGTAACCTTATCGATTCATTAAAGGTTTTATGGCTAAGTGTTTGGATAAGGAATATCATTCCCGTTGAGAATTTCGCTTAGTGGTAGAATGATTTCTAGGGATAGCAGTAGAGCGCCCTTTGGGGGTTGTGGTAGAGCGCTCCCTAGACGTAGTGGTAGAGCGCTCCCTGGGTGTAGTGGTAAAACGCCCTTTGAGGGTCGTGGTAGAGCGCTCCCTAAACGTAGTGGTAGAGTGCTCCCTGGGTGTAGTGGTAGAACACCCTATGAGGGTCGATGGCCTTGCATCGGTGTGCTATGATCTGCCTTGCTTGTCCTTGAGGGTGGCTACTTCTACCAACCTATATCATTAGCCCCTCTACCCCTTGTCGATGTTTTCGACAAGGGGTAGCAATTTTAGGTTGGTTTGAAAAATTTTCTTTCTTTTTTTTTTTTTTTATAAAGAGAAAGGAATAGTTCGTATTAGCAAATCGAACTATATAAACACGATCGAGTGGTAATTCTACTGTACACATGGATCCTCACTAATGGCTTTAATATTGGAGGGAGATTTCCCTCCAATTCCCCCCCCCCCCAAAAATTTGAATTCTAGTGTTATAAAAGGGGGGTAATTCTCATTCTAGAAAATCACTTTCATTTTCTCTCAACATCCTAGGCTTCCTCTCTTCTAAGGTAATTTCCTCTCCTTTTTTAAATCCAAGGTCTTGTTTTAAATTTCTTCTCTTCATCATCTTTGTTGTCATGTATAAAACTATTCTTTCTTCTCCTTCCAATGAAAAAAGTGATGGGGGTTATAGTGATTCGACCGGACCTTCGTCGGAGGGTGCCGGAGGGAGTCCGACCGACCCACGGGGGGGTCGGTCGCCGGCCAGCGGGGCTGGTTGGTCGACCAGCCAAGGGGTTGGTCCATCGACCAGCTGGTCGATTTGTCGACCAGCCAAGGGGTTGGTCCATCGACCAGCCCTTGGTTGGTCGATTTGTCGACCAGCCCCTTGGCTGTTCGGGCTGGCCATCCCCCGCCACCCATTAAGTCTCGTGGCTTGTCCGGTCCTTCGATCCGCCCTTGTAGTGACTCGCCCCCTTCATCCGGCAGATCCCTTTATGATAGTGATAGTGAAACTCATTCAATTGACTCTCAGCCATTTGTTCCAAATTTCCCAAAGAGACACATTGGTTCTTCTAAGTCTCCAGGCCAAAATTTGGAAATCGGGCGTGACCCGGCCGGTGAGGTTGTCCCCCTAGATATCCCAAAAAGTTATAGTCTCTACAATTCGCCACTTAAGTTGGAAAAATGTCTAGGAAAGTATGACCGGGTTGATGATTACGTCTATAGAGCCCCTGGTCCTAAAGAAAGGCTCCTCGGGTCCGACCCCCGTGAGATAGCCATGTACAAGGATGTTATGGACGGGGGTTTTCGATTCCCCATTCATCCCTTTTTTGTGTCGATTTTCAACGAGTTCCACCTTACTCCT